TGTGGGGAGGTGAGGGGTTGTGAAGGGTGGGTGTGGGGGAGTTGGATTGGGTGTTGTAGATGTGGAAAGGTTTGTGGGGGTTAGGAGTGATAGGAGGGTTTAATCATCCAGCGAACCGGAAACTGGTGCGCATTCTTGGTGATGTTGAATGGGGAGTGTACGGTTGGGATGGGGGGGGGGAGGGGGATGTGTGTGGTGTGGTGGAGGGAGGAGTGGGTGGTGGCGGCATTGGTTGGGGTGGGGGGGGGGTGCGGAAACCTAATTGATGTGGGGCGTGAGGAGGTGGATGAGAATTGATGCGTGGAAGCGGTCAAAGCTGACGATGTGTGTGGTGCTGCAGGGTGCAGTGGTGGCTCGGGGCAAGGGCGAGTATCCGGAGAGGGTGGGGCAACCGGAATGCCAGGTAGGGGAAGGGGGAGGCGAAGGAGGTGTGGTAAGGCGTGTAGGACGAGTGGATGGTTTGTGGAGAAGCGGTTGTGCGAGGGAGGAGGTGTGGATGAGGGTGAGGGGGAGTTAGAAGGGCGGATGATAGGATGGGGTAGGTTGGGGAGCGGAGTGGGGAAGGGGAGGGGATGGTTGGGGTTCGGAAGAGGGGGAGGATGGGAATGTGGTGCGGGAGGTGGAGAGAGGATGGAGTTTCGGGCGGGAGGATTGACAGTTGGGGTTGTGTCGGGGGTGGGGGAGTGCAGTATTATCTGAAGACGGGAACTTGTAAATTTGGAGCGACGTGCAAGTACCATCATCCTCGGGAGAAGGCGGGGTCAACAGGGCGAGTGCTTTTGAACGTGCTGGGGCTTCCGCTGAGACTGGTGGGTGGTGTTGGATGGTTTGGGAGTGAGTGGTTGTGCGGGTTACTGTGGGCGGAGGGAGTGGAAACGGGGGTGGTGGCGTGATTGAGGTTGGTGGGGGTGGTGGTGCGCAGGGGGAGAAGGAGTGCGCGTATTACATGCGGACGGGGTCTTGCAAGTACGGAGTGACATGCAAATTCCATCATCCACAGCCAGCGACGGTGGGGGGAATGGTGCCAGTGCCGTTCGGGAGTGGCGGGGGCCCATCGTCTCCGGCTCCGCAGGGATATGCGGCGGGAGCGCTGCCTTCGTGGCCACTGGCAAGATCTCCGTATCCGCTACCAAGGCTGCAGACACATTCGAGTTACGGTCCAATGCTGCCACTGCAGCAAGGGATCATGTCGATGCCAGGGTGGAGCTACCAAGTAAGTGGAGTGGGAAGAGGGGAGCATGCACTTGGATGGAGAGTTTCGTTACCTGGCTAGCTGGTTGCGGTGTCGGTTCGGGCTATGTTGAGGTCGATTGTCTGGTTATGGGTGTGACATGTGTAGTCGGCTGTGCATATCTACAGTTGTTAATGTGTGTAGCCTGTTTGAACGGAGTGATGTGTTGTGCATTAGTTTGGTTTCTTTTCTATCGATTTGTGTCGGCATGTGGGGATAATGTTTGTGGTCGTGGCATTTGAGGAGTGAGGGATGTAGGTTTACATGTAGTGGTTGCAGATGTGGAGTTTGGTTATTGATCTTAGGATATGTTTTGGTAGATGGAGGAGGATGATGGTTGATGTTTGGATTCAGCGTGGTCGGTGCTGCATCTGATCGAGTTCTGGTTGTAGTTGTTTTAGTAACTTGATTTCTGTGTTTGGTTTGATTGAGTTCTTAATCTTACGGCGTGGTCTTCTTTGATGCAGGGACCTGTCGGGCCGGCAGACGGTCACCAGCAGGGTTATGTGTTTGGAGGTGCCCCTCAGGGAGAACACGTATCGGGGTTTGGTCCTTACATGCAGGGTTCGTCGGCGGTGGGTCTCCCCGCCCATCAGGCAACGCAGAGCGTTGTTGGACAGAAAGAAAGTCTGTTTCCTGAGAGACTTGGGCAACCGGAGTGCCAGTACTATATGAAAACTGGGGAATGCAAGTTTGGGACGACTTGTAGATATCATCATCCGAAGGATCGTTCGACGCCTTCATCAACATGTCATTTAAGCGCCATGGGTCTTCCTCTGCGCCCTGTAAGTACAAATTTATGGGTGGAGAGAGTGTTTGATTATTCGGGGTAGGGAGGATATTGTGAAATGGGGTCTGGGTTGGCAGGACTTTGTTGGAGTGGAATTGAGTGGTTGACAGGGAGTGTGTGCTGTTTGGGGTTGGTTACAGGGAAACCCTCCTTGCTCGTTCTACACACGCTACGGCATATGCAAATTCGGGCCGACGTGCAAGTTCGACCACCCACTAGTTGGAAGCTTAACTTACAGTCCGTCGGCCGGGTCGCTTGCGGACGTTCCAGTGGCACCTTATCCAATTGGGTCATCGCCGATGAACCTAGCACCGTCTGCGTATTCAGAAGGTCTTCTGGAGCGGCAGGGTTCAGGTGAGGCGGGTGGGTACGCGGAAGACGGGATTGGTCACCATGTGACATCGCGGAGCAATTCAGAGGGAGGCGGGGTGAGCTCGGGATCGGGTGTGAACGGAGGAGTGGGAGGGGCGGGAAGCGGGAGTGGTCCAACTCAGGCGGAGAGCGTGGGCAAGAGCTAGAGGAGCATGTAGGAAGCGAAGGATTGCCTTGCTCTTTGAGCGTCCGGGACCGTGGCAAGCTACCGAGAGGTGATTGAGTTTGGTCAAGTACGTGCAGGGGGCGGTGGAGTGGGTGTGAATAAGGCGAGGAGCGGGGCCATGAAGCGTGGATGGGGCTGTGGTGGGGTTGAGGCCAGAGGCTGGGTCAACGTGGAAGTGGGTGGAAGGGGTTGGACGGAGCAGATGGGCAGGTGGTGGTGGTGTTCGCGCAGCAGTGTTGAGAGGCGCAGAGAAGTTACGGAGTTGTATGGCGCAGGACACCGATTCTTGTCCCGTCGGGTGGTCTGACTGGAATGCACTGCAGGGCAGTGCAGCGGAGTGAGAGGAGGAGAATTTGTTAGGTGGACAGTTAGGTCTGGTAGGTCGGCATTCACACCTGTCCTGTGGAAGGAAGGAAGGAAAGGCCAATGATTTGGCCGTGGAATGGTTGGGAGGGCGTTGAGCATTCCGTTCGGGGGGAACGGAACTGCAGAGAGGAGACGAGTGCGCTTTTCGCATGATGGTAGAGTTGCTTTGTGTAGGCCCGAGTTCGTTAGATTCATTGCCCTTAAACCCTGAAATAACAGTTGCCCGACTCGCTTGGTGCATGTTCTCTCTTGTATTTAGTGCAAGGTCAATTTTTCATGTGCGGACACTTTTTTTATGTTCCTGTCACTGTTTGTTGTTTCTTTTTGGTATTCAGTTTGTTGCTTTTTCATGGGTCACAACTGTGTTTGTTTTGCTTGGTCGATGTCGATTTGTGGTTGTTGAATATCTTTGCTGTATTATAATATGTTTAAGTTGAACTGGCTTGTTTTTTTTTTTTCCTTTTTATTTTCATATTTTTGTGCTCCCGTGCTGTCGTTGGATGAACTGTTTTTGTTTTTGTATTCCGGTTGTCTGTTAGAGTTTTTTTTCTGGATGTTACGGATTTTAGTGTTATTATTTAGTGTTTTTGTTTTTTCTGTTGTGCGATTTGTTTCCATCATGGAGTATCGTTGTTTACTTCATTTGTTAACATTTATTTCCGAAGCATAATAGTGACTAATGTCGCATCGCAAGTATTTTGTACACTGTCTTGTAGAATTTGAAAAAGTATTTCTCAATGTGTTTACGGTAATTTTTGTATAACTAAAAATTATCTTAATGAAAGCAGGTGAACAAGGTTCATAACAATTCTTTTGGTATATTCAATAACTTACAAAAGTAATTCTGAGTATGTATACACATATGGTAAAAAGTAGACTTAGTTGCTTTACATTTGCATGGTGTCGACATACATTTCTTTTTGATGTTAGTATGACCATAAATTTTGATAATAAATAATCAATGTTTAGAATTTCAAAGGAAATAAATATTAAAACTATAATTTTAGGTGATGCTGTTTGGGACACAATTTAGAACTTTAATAAACTAGAAATTGGTTAAAATAAATAAAACCAAGATTTGGAAGGAGAGGATAGAATAGATAAATATATTGTAACCAAGTGATTGTTCATTAGATATAGTCATAAAAAATAGAGTTGATAGTATATAAGAATTTTTTTCATGTTTCCAAACTATTTCTATGAATAAAGCAGTAAATTCCCCTATATTTCTTTGTGGGCTACTTTTTAAATACATATATTTTATCAAATTGAAATTTGCTATTAGTTTCGTATCTTGCAAGGCTTGAATTTCAAAGATAAGATTCAAACCACTAACCAGCGCACTTTAACACAAATATTTCGTCATCCATTCAACTGTAAGGACATTACGGACCTACTCCTGTAGTTATGAAATGGAAGTTGTTCAAACATACCATGGAGCCTTTCATTCACTCAGATTCATTCCAGAAATTTCAACAGAAAGACTGATCAGTAATTGCACTGATACCATGACCACCATCACTCAAACAATAGCTTTCCGAAAGTTAAAAGTCCTCATCAAGATTAGAAAGCCTCCAAATCAGACCACACCTTCACAACATCCCAGTGTCAATCTGAGATGAATAGAAAGTAATGAGTTCAAGTCTGACATACGATTCCAATGACACCAGCCAGCAAAACCAACAACATCAGCAGAGCGCGCATCATATGTTGGCGCTCTGACCAACAGCGATGTCCGGGTCCAGGTTCTATCAAAGTTGGATATCCGTGACATATTGCGTCTTCGATCCGTTCGCTTTCTGAAAACAGAATCAGCTAGTGGTTTTGGTCATTCCTTGAGGTTCGCTGATCCGTCGTGCACATCCAGGTGTCCCCCCCCCCCCCTCTCCTCGCTGTTGGTGTCGGCACTGCTGGTGCGAAGCCAGTACTCCAAGTCGCTCCATGGCCTTCTTGCATCGGTTTCCTACACTTCCGTGTCTCGAATTCGGGCATCATACCTCGTGCGGAGATTCATTACTGCGTTCCTCCAGCCTTACGTATGTTGTGATCGTGTGAGGCAGGTGCGCAATGCGCTCCTTTCTTCAAATTAATTGCAACTGAAAAAAATAACGAAAAGAAGAGTCTTGGTCTGATTCTCCTGGGTCATCGGCCAAGTCGCATGCTGGGAAGTCGTGCCTGCGGGTTGTCGACAAGGAGCTGGAGGACGATTCCCGCGCCAACGGAACCGCGCAGAACAGGTTTGTTTCCAGGATTGCCCTTGTGCCGGAGGATCCCAATTGGTTTCAGTGAGAGGGTTTAGCTGGGGGTAGGATCCCTAGATTAATCATTGGGGACCGATCTGCACCGCATGAGGTTTTCGTGGTCCGATGCGAGAGCCGGCAACGAGTTTGCGGAGGTGTTTGGTTGTGCGCTGATACGTACTCGTCGCACGGTCACATGGCGTAGTGCCCGGGTTCCAGAGTGTATTAGTAGTCTGTGAAGCAAATCCCCTTTATCGCGTCCCTGGACCTATGTTTCTTGGTTTCAATTTCCGGTGCTCCCTGATTGGTGTTCAGCAAGCACGAAGGTTCTCTAGGTGGCGTCCGTCGCCGCATAGTTGCTCTATTAGGTCGAGGTGGCTCGTTTCTCTCGATTGATTTGAAGAAGAGTTTCGTGGATTGCGCCCAAGTCGCGGAAACCGATATGAACGAGTGGCTTTCGCAATTAATGAAAGTTTTGGCATCGAATTGGGGTTGGATTGTCCTGATTTGACGAGTATCGCGCTCAATGGTCGCTGTAGGGAATTTTGGCGCTGTTAGATTGAGAATACAGCTCAGCAAGGGCGATGATTGCTGGTGGCTAGATCGTAAGCGGGGAATGGAGTTTAGAACGGCTTTTCTGACACTCGCCGGCATGATCTGAAAGTCAGATTGGTTTGATTGGTGTGTATATCGCAGAAAGGAGAAGAAGAAGGGTAAGAAGGGCGGTCTATTTTATGACGAAGACGAAGACGAAGACGATTTTGATGCAACAGATGGCCCGTAAGCTTCTGTGGGATCGGCTGAAGCTGAGGAAGCCTTGGATTCATTGGCTGCTAAATAGAAGAACAAGAAGAAAGGAGGAGCATCGGAAGTGGCATTCGATTGGTTAGGTGGGGGCATGTCCGATGGCGAAGTTGCCTCAGGAAGCCTGTCTGGTCCTGCTGTGGACGAAGCAGAAAAGGACAAAGCTGAGGAAGAGGAGGAGGTCCTCATGTTTGGTGGCAAGAAGAAAGGAAAGAAAGGGAAGAAAAACAAGAAGGCCTCCGTGGATGATGAATATCCTGTTCTCGATCCTGAAGCTGAAGCCGAAGTCGAAGCCGAAGAAGCTATTGGTGTATCTGCTGCTTAGAGTAAGAAAGGAGGAGCAAAGAAAGGGGCGTTTAGTATGTTGAATGAGGATGTATTCGATGGAGAATTTGCTTCAGTGAGCCCGTTGGTTAACCAAGCAGGAAAGGTCAAAGCCGAGGAAGAGGAGACTATCACGTTTGTCGGTAAGAATTAAGGGAAGAAAGGAAAGGACAACAAGGCCTTCATAAATGATCATTATCCTGCTCTGGATCCTGAAGCCGAAGCTGCCGTTGATTTGTCTGCTGCTAAGAATAGCAAGAAGGGGGAGGAAGTAGCAAAAAATCAGCGTTTAGTATGCTAGATGAAGATATCTCTGATAGCAGAGCGACTTTAGTAAGCCTAGTCGTTCCTGCTTTAAACGAAGCAGAAAGTGACGAAGCCGAGGAAGAGGAGACTCTCATTTTCGCCGGTAAGAAGAAGGGGAAGAAAGGGAAGAAGGAAAAGAAGGCTTCGAATGATGATGAGGACATTGATGCTCTAATTGGTAAGCTGGAAGGACACACGATGACTGAAGGTAATTGTTCATGCACGATTAGGTAACGAGGGCGAATTGTATAGTGATCGCCGTCGTGACATGCACACTACATGAGCTCCAGCCAGCAGTCTCGATTGTGAAGAGGTTAGTGGAATGAACCGATTTAGCTCATGGCAATGTAAGCCTGCTGTTTGTGAGCACCTGCTACTGTAGTTGGACGTGTCTGCGTCGTATCACCCGTTGAGGGATGATAGTCGTGCCTGAGCAATTTGCCTACCAACGATTTGAGTCCGTGTTTTACATCCCTAACTGCAAAAGCATGGATTTCGTCGTGTTTTTGACAGCGCTGCGTCGAGAAGCAGCTGCAGCGCCATCCGCAGTTCCTGCAGAGCGGAAGGGCAAACAGAAGAAAAAAGGGAGAAAGAGTGGACGAACCGCTCAAGAGGAAGAAGACCTTGATGCCATTCTTGCAGAATTGTAAGGGCCAAGAAAATCTAAACCCCCTGCTTCGTCTGCCGCGGAGGCTGTTGTGCCTGCTCCTCCTGAATCATCTGCGTCAGTTGCAGAGGAGGAACCTACAGCTGCGGAGAAGTTTTCAGCAACTGGAGCTGGTCTGCTTGAAGCCGAAGAAGTCGCAGAGTCAGCAGCTTCAAAAAAGAAGAAGATGAAGAAGAAGAAAGAGAAGGAAAAGGCTGCAAAGGTTGGAGCAGGTAATTGGAGAATCCAGGTTATGTGTTTGTTGATTTAATACTATATATTGGTAATATATATATATATATATATATATATATATATCTGTTCTTTCATTTTTCATTTTTCTCACCCTATTCTTTACAGCTTGTTGTGTACTTGGTCCGAAGGTGAAGTGGCTGTTTGCTCTCTCTCTCTCTTGCGATGTGGCTATCTGCATCTGCATCAAGGGTCTTGTTTGACTTCGGAAGTGCTGTGGCACTGGTTGGATCAGTATTCAGAGGTGAGGGAACAAGTTTGTTGTTGATGTTAACCATGTTGCAATGCAGCTGACAAACCTGCAGAGGATGAAGTAGTTGAGGAGAAGAACGCTCCAGTGAGAATAGAGGAAACTAAAGCCAAGGCTTCTGACAAGAAGGTACCAAAGTATGTGCGGGAGATGCAAGAGCCGCTGGCCCAGATGAAAGAGGTTGAAGAGAAGACACTTCGAATTATGGACCCTTTTTGACAGGGACACACTTTTTAATTCCGGCATTGGTCATGCAATTACATGCCTCCGCTTGCAGGTAGCCTGGGTACTTGCAGTCTGTTTGAGGGGTAAGGGTAGAGTCCAGGTTGGGTATCCTTTTCGAGGATTGTAAAGAGTGATGAATGATGTAGCCTTGCCATCGTTCACAGGAAGAGGAGAAACGCCGGAGAGTGGAGAAAGAGCAGCAAGGGCTGGAGGAGTTGTAGCAGCAGAAAGAAGAATCCAAGCGCAGGCGCAAGGAGTGTGAGAGAGAGAAATGCTGCTGTAGAAGAAGAAAGAGGGCAAGTTGTTGACAGCAAGGATAAGGAGGAGCTTCGACGATTGGCTTGAATAAGAGAGCAGTTTATGACCTCTGTGGATCAGGACAGTCCCGCAGGAGAGGAGGCATCCGCTCCAAGGAGACCCAAGTTTGAAACGAAGAATAGGCGCAAGCCAGCTGCAGCGGGACAAACAGCTGAAGCAGATCTTGCTGTTCTAGCAGTAGCGGAGTTAGCAGAGCCAGCAGTGCAGGAACCAGAGCTGGAGGTAATACCAGAGCTAGGTGCGGAATCGGAGCCAGTAGTTCCAATGGAGGTGAGCTGAGCTGGTGCAATTTGCTGTAAATAAGTGTAGGCCGTATTCAGTTACAAAATGCATTGGCTAGTTTGAAAATTACACTTGAGTGTTTTGGAGAGGGATCGAAGGGAATGAGTTTGCCTATGAGAACAAACCGTTTTCCCTATGGAACCTATTTGGTTGTGTGCTATTTTTGACTGGCGCTGGATTCGTGTCCTTCAAAGATAAGGTGATGGTGGGTGTTTTCTGGCTCTCGGTCACCTAGTTATCATATGCGCACCAGATTTTGAGTGAGATTTGGCACTTGTTCAGGTGAAAGAGGAAGAGGAAGAGGAAGAAGAGGACTGGGATGCTAAGAGCTTTGAGGAGGTTAACCTTCCTTCAATCAAGAGTGCATTTGCTGAGGAAGAAGCTGACGATGGCCCAGTAAAAGCTGGGCAAGTTGTGATTCCTCCTCCAAGTGCCCTTCCAGCTGTTGCTAAACCTTCTCCTAGGAAGAAACCTGCACCTCCTTCAAAATCACAGGCGAAGGTTGTGGAAAGTGAAGACGAGAATGGGAAGGATGAGGGGGAGGATGAGGACAGCGAGGAAGGTGTGGACGTGAGGAAACGCCAGGAGGCGAAGGTGAGAAGAAAAGCTCGAATAGCATAAGCTCTGAAGAAGAGAAGTGCAGTGGATCTGAGGTTTCCGGTATGCTGTATGTTATGTCACGTTGATACAGGTATGGGAATGCATGACCTGATTTACACAAACTGGCACTTGATTTTGTGCAGCAGACGAGTGTGCCGTGCAGTTTTCTGTGTGTGTGCTTTTCTTGCTGTTTTGGTGTCTTCGATCATTGGCTTCCGATTGTTCGAAGTTTATAGCAGATTGCATATTCCGGAGTTCGCCATAGTGGCTCATTATTTATAGCTGAGGGTGAATTGTACTGGCTTCCAATTTTCATGCTCAAGTGTAGTTTCTCGTTCACTCCGGCTGAAGAGGGGGAGGAGGAAATTTGCATGCAGCACGGTCAAACTTGTGATCAAATAATAAAGGTTGGTTGCGATTTCGTGCAGGCAAGACAGAGCTGCTTGATTGTATTTGGCGAAGGAATGTGCACGAGGGAGAAGCTGGTGGTTTTACTCAGCAGATTGTAGTTACGTATTTCACGATTTCACGATTTAGCAAGACAACTAAAGAATTGCAAACAGATGCTAAACTGAAAGTTCCTGGTCTTGTTTTCGATACACCAGGCCACGAGTCTTTTACTAAGGGCCGGGGGTTCTAGTCTATGTGATGTAGCCATTCTGGTCATTGATATCATGCATGGATTGGAGCCACAAACCATCGAGTCCCTCGGTCTTCTGCAATCACGACACACTCCTTGTGTGGTTGCCCTGAACAATGAAAACTTTGGTGTTATGGGATATTGTTCCAGTTTGCATTGGTCACCCACCTTTCTTCATGTCATAGGCGTTCAAGATTGTATTAGAAATCATAATTAACAGCACATAACCAATCAGTGGTGAGCATCGGGAAATAGAGCCAGAAACACACCTTGTCGACGAGTCATGACCCCTCCTGAGTGTGCCTTCGATAAAATAAAGACTCCGTAAAAACCACTGTTTAATAATAAAAATAAATATACAAAAACTCTAGATTACTCAAATCTACAGTAACTAGCAATTCTAGTATGATATCAAAGCAACAATAATTTTGAGAACTTAGTAGAAAAAACTCCAAAAATCACGGAAAATTAAAAAGAACTCACGAGAAGAAGTGTTGTGCTGAAGATGTTTTGCACAAAAACTAGGGTACCAATAGATTGTCATGAGTATGGCTTCAAATAACATTACCAAGAAATTTGAGATGGAAGAAATATGGAAGTTATTTTTTGGCATAGAAAAAGAACCAATACATATTAAAAAATTATATTCAACAACACAATCACTTCGAACAAACCAAGCTATCATCATTACTTGGAAAAAAAAGCATCATGTTGTTCCAACAACCATTTGAGATTGTATAGACAAGTCTATCTTTTCACATGCAGGAACATGCAAAACAACCAATAAAGCATGGTTAGTTTTAGAAAATACATATTGTGCAAGTAATGTCATTTAAATACAATTGCAAGAAAAATTTACAATATTAAAAATTTAAGCAAGAGAAATTATAATATAACATCTATACAATTTTAAAATAATCTTATAAAAATGTCACTCTATAGAAGTGATATTTCCATCACAAACAAAAATACTTACTCTCATAAAATCTATGCTATCATATTATAATACACTGATTCAAATACTACAAACCATAGTAATGATAATAATACCAAAGTTGATTGCAATCTTCTTTCAAGAAGAGACAGCTATAAAAGACTTATCTTCTAAATTCTAAGTATTCTTTGCAAGACTCAAAGACAAGAGTAAATAGCAATCTACATTAGCTTCAAAATAACTAAAAAAATTCTACAAACATTCAAAAATAGATCCAAACTAACCTCCATATATCTTCATTGCAAAGAAATGGGATACTAGAAATTAAAATGCTACAAATATATCAACTTCTTATGCAAATAAAAAGTAAGAATCAACATCAAAGGCCAAAAATATAAAAGAACTACTTAGTGCATTCTATAAAAATATTCATCTTATTTAAGCTTTTTATTTTAAGAAATAAAAAAAACTAAGAAAAAAAAAAGATGAATAATGATAGGAGCTACACATCACCTGACACACAACAAACACCAATTCATTAACTTTGAATATTTTTCACCTAAAAAAAATAAAGTCTACTTTAGTGACACTACAACACTAAATATTTGTAGAAAAAATAAAGTCAAAATTTGCATAGTTAATAGGAATACCATCTACCTTACAAACATCTTATATATCTTTGATTTACAAAAGAACATCTTTTTAATTAATGATTGTGATTAATAAGATGGAGAGATTCTCATCAAAAATCAAATATGCCAACTATTAGCTTGAGATGATACTACTCTTATTATTTGCTTCCAACAAGATAACTTCTATTTCTTTGGCATAATATCAATTCTTTTTCATATAATTAAAGCCAATTTTATTACTATTATTGAAAAAATCACCATGCTATCTAATTTCACAATAATTTTATATTGCTACAGGCCAATAAAGCTCTAACATCCCACTCCACTCATTAGCACTATTTTTGCATCCACCTTCAATATTCATGATATCACCACATGTAAATATAGCTACATCAAAATAAATACCTTATCACCACTCCTACTTGCTTATATTACCTATAATATCAAGAAATTATTGAATGCAATAATACTTTTGCAAATACCACATTAGTCTTTTTCAGCATCTATTGCAATGTAGATCTTTGTTCTAAATTCCAATTCTCTATATTCTTGAACTACCATCAATTTTAAAATTATAAAGTCTTAACCTTCAAATCAAATATGTGTACCATCACCAATATACACAAGTCAACTACTTGTCACAAACATATATATTTATTCTAATATTTACCTATATGATTAAGTAGAAGTAGATAAAGTACATTTATTTCATAATATTTTCTAGAGAAGCTTTATAAAAGCTTTATAGATGTTACTTTGACTTTATATGAATTTGTAATTGATTAGTAGATTAGAAAATTGATCAACAAGTTAATCGTGTGTTAATAACTTGTGAAACAAGCTAACTGTATGGCATACATATAGAAAACTTATCTTATTAGTTAAGATACGTGTTGTGCAAAGTCAACATGTTTTGGAAGTCCTATAGGACATTGCCATGTAGCTTCTAGTTAAGAGTATATATAGAAGCAAGACTGAAGCCTTCTTCAATCTTGTCAATGTCTTTTTAGTCTTTACTCTTATTTTAAAACTTTCTAATTTTCTTGTTTTTGGCAATAGCCATTCTACTTTAATACCATATCATCTTTAAGTGACTTTTTAGTTCTTTTGAGTGATATAAGAGTATATTAAGGATTTCTTTTTTTAAGATTCATATCCTTGATAGTTTGATAAGAGTCTTAACTTACTATTTTTATCTTATTTTAGAAGTAAATAAATTATTTTATTTTTATTATTATATTTTAAAAGTTGCTGACTATCCACTTTTAAAAAAATAATTTTTTCCTTAAAAAAAGTGGATTATCACTCTTTGTAGAAATTTTTATTTGATATTAGAAGTTATGAATTATCTTCCTCTAATTTAACTTTTGAATTTTTTAAAGTTTTCTATAGAAGAAAAGACTATAAATGCTAGTCTTAGCAAAAGTAAAAATAGATTTGTAACTATTACATATCGTCATGAGCTTATTAATATTCTAAGAATAGAAATCTCACGTATTTTCAACATGAATCATGGAGATATTATTCTTACGCTTGTAGAAGAAATTTTCAGTCTACATCAAGAAGTTGTGCAATTGAAGGAAGAAAGTAGATTAACCTCATAACCAAATCTAAGAAGTTTTTCTTCTATAAATATAATAGGGACAATGATTAGTATACTTAAGAAGTTTGATGGAACAAGATCAAAATTTTGAAGATTTTTGCAACAAGTCAAGATCTATCTAAGGTTGTATTTCTTCCAATATCTTAATGGATTTACTCAAGTCAAATTCATAGGTGAACTTCTATCAAGAAGTGCTTTCTTTTATTTTCTATCTTTAATAGAAAAGGATTTGCAACTCCTTTATGATTTGAATTCATTCTAAGAAGTATTTATGGCTATATTTAGAAAAAAATGTTCAAGAAAGAATAGCTGAGATTAAGCTCTTATCTTTACAATAAAGATTATGGTCAGCCACCATATATATTATTGAATTTCAAAACCTTGCTTGCAACATAGACTAGAATGACAAAGCCCTTATCAATCAATTTTGATATGGATTGAAAGATAATGTCAAATATTTATTATTGATAATATCAAAAGTAAAATCTTTGGAATAATTTATTGCTCAAGCCATTGTATGCAATAATCAATTATTTGAAAGATATTAAGAACAAAGACTTGGCTAAAGAAGAACAAATCAAATAATGGCATCAGCTTTCAAGTTTTTAGAAACTTATTCATTAAGGCCAAAACTAATGTAAATTCATATGATATGTTTTAAATCCTTCACGGAGCAGAAAATGACTCAATAATGTCAAGATGGTTTATGCTTATATTATGGAAAAGATAAACATACTACTTAGCATTATCCAAAGAAACAACGCAACTAAAAAATGAGAAGTATGGTTGCTAAAGAAGATGATGTGTCAAAAAACGAATCTTTCTAGCTACAATAGATATTCTGTAGCTAAAATCTTGCATAATTCTTAGTAAAGGTCCTATTCTCTTCTTAGACTCCTCACCTTGTTTTATAATAAAAGTTTATTTAGGACCAAAAAATCACAAAGTCTTAGCTTTGTTAGATTCAAGAGTCTTAGCTTATTTTATAGACAAAGATTTTGTCAAAAAACAAGAGATATTGTTAGTCACAAAAATTAAATCTATACATGTAGAAATTATAGATGGTTGTTTTTTATTTTTTAAAAATATTACACATGATTTATTTATTTATTTATTTATTTATTTATTTATTTTTTATATATTAATTAAAGATTATAATCAAATAATTATATTAAATATAATAAAATCTCTATTTAATTTTATTATTTTAGGATTATCTTGATTAAAAAAATATAATCCTTAGATAGATTGGATTTCTCGTAACCTTGATTTTTCTAGTAGTTTAATCCAAAATCCTATTAGTTAAGTAGAAATACATAAATCTAATATATCCAAATTCTTATTAGTAGATACAAGAGTTTTTATGCATGCTATAAAAGAAAGGTCATTTTTTGCTATATGTATCATGTCCATTTTGATGGTGGAAAGATGTCAAGTAATATTCTTAGTGAGTATCAAGATTTCGAAGATATTTTTGAAAAGAAGAATATAGATATTCTGCTAAAATATTGTCTTTATGATTATTCCATCTATCTTTAAGAAGGAGCTCAACCACCATTTGGACCAACCTTTAGCCTATAACAAAACAAGTTGGTTGTGCTCAAGGAGTATATTAATAAGAATTTGGCTAAAAATTTCATAAGCCATTCTAAATCTCTAGTCGAGGTTTCTATCTTACTTGAAAAGAAAAAAGACAAATCTTTGCAAATGTGTATGGACTATCAAAGATTCAACAAGATCACCATAAAAAATAATTATTTTCTACTTTTGATTTCAAGACTTGATCAACTCAATGAAACAAAAATCTATACAAAAATAGATCTATAAGGAGCATATAATCAAGTACATTTTAAATAAGGAGATGAATAGAAAACTATATTTTAAATCAATTATGGACATTTTGAATCTACTGTCATGCTTTTTGGATTTATGAATATACTAGTTGCTTTACAACATCTAATAAATGATGT